CTGTAGACCGCAGGATAAAATTTCAGCATATTTCAGTATGAAGTTTTAGTAGATGAACTAAATAACTTTAACATGTATTAGCAATAACTCATTAGATAATTACATACTGCAGGACAAAAACTTAAGCATGTTTAGTCTGAAGTTTTAGCAAATGAACTAAAAAACTTCAGCATGTTTAGACTGAAATTTCGGATAAAACTCATGACACAATTGTAGACCGCACGACAAAATTTTAGCATGTTTTGGTATGAAGTTTTAGCAAATAACCTAAATAATTTTAGCATGCATTAGCAAAAACTCATTAGAAAATTACATATTGCGAGACAAAAACTTAAGAATATTTAGTCTGAAATTTTAGCAAATAAACTAAAATACTTAAGCATTTTAGACTGAAGTTTCGGATAAAACTCATGATAAAATTGTAGACCGCATGACAAAACTTCAATATATTTTGGTACGAAATTTTAACAAATGAACTAAATAACTTCATCATGCATTAGCACGAAATTTTAGCTTCAATGCGAAACTACTTCATGCTATATTAGCATGAAGTTTTAGTTTCAACGTAAACAATTCCATGCTACATTAGCATGAAGTTTTAGCTTTAACGTGAAACAACTTTATGCTACATTAGCATGAAGTTTTAGCTTATATTTGATTAAAACATCAGACTTCAACGTGAAACAACTTTTTTCTATATCCTTCACGTTTTAAATTTGAAGTTTTGAAAAGTTTTTGAAGATCTGTAAGTAAAAACTTCATGTTATATCCGTCAAACAACTTCATGCGTGATACAAGTTTTATATCTTTTGTCAGGGGTATAATTATCATATTATTACGAATTTTTTTGTCAGTTGGCTACCAAATCAATAATTTTTAAAAATAGGGTACTAGTTAAAAAGTGGCGCAAATATAGGGTACGACTGCAAATCTCCTGAAATTATTGGAAAAAATAAAAAATAGCTAGATTTACAATTGGTAATTGAAAAATAGTCACAATTTCAAAAGTAATCGAAATTTAGCCACTTTTTCATGTAAAGATGAAATTTGAACAACAATACCCTTTAAAATCGAGAAATATTCCTGCACAATATGTTGACGTTCGAATTTTTTATATATGAGCTTCCAGCATAATGTGCTGGAGTTCTAACATAATATGCACGAAGTTTATATGCAGAAGCTTCATAATTCAGCATATTATGCTGGATCTTTCCGTGTAATGAAGTTCTAACATAATATGCTAGAAGTTTATACGCACGAACTTTTCGTATTTCAGCAATACAGTAGCTTTTCAATGACTTTGAAAACGCTCGTTATTTTTTGATTATCAATCCGAAAACTGACTAGCCCGTATTATTTTCACAATTATTTGGGTAACGAACTAAAGAAATATACTTTTTAAAGAAGTTTGAAATAATAAACAACAACAACAAATCCAGTATAATCCCATTAGTAGGGTCTAAGAAAGGTATTGTGTACGCAAACCTTACCCTTACCTTGTAAACATAGAGAGGTTGTTTCAAAGACTCCCGGCTCAAGGTGAACGAAAAAGGGGACAAAAATCAACAAGTAATAACAACAACAAGGTAATAAGCTAACTGTAGTGAAAGAAATAACAGATAATAATATAACTATATGAATACGAGAGTACAAGACTTACATTATTACCTTCTGGTACGACCCAAAAATAAGCTCGACTACCTACTAACCTCTTACCCTAATTCTCGACCTCCACGCTCTCCTATCAAGGATCATGTCCTCAGTAAGCTAAATTGCACCATATCCTGCTTAATCACATTTCCCCAATACTTCTTAGGCTTACCTTTACCTCTATTTGGACCCATCAAGGCCAACCTCTCACACCTCCTCGCGGGGCATCTGCACATCTCTTCTTCACATGCCCGAACCATCTCAACCTCACTTCACTCAACTTATCCTCCACCGGAGTCACTCACACCATGTCCTGGATAACTTCATTCTTGATCTTTTCTCTCTTGGGATACTCACACATACATCTTAATATCCTTATCTCTCACACGTTTATTTTATAGGCATCAAAGTTCTTGATTAGCCAACACTCTACCCTATACAATACAGTTGGCATATCCATCACTTTGTAAAATTTGCCTTTAAGTTTAAGTGACACCCTCTTATCATATAAAACACCGGATACAGGCCTCTATTTTATCCACCATGCTCAAATACGATGTGTGATATCCTCGTCAATCTCCCCATTACCCTAGATTATTGATCCAAGTTACTTAAAAAAAATTCTCTCGGGGATGACATATATATCAAGCCTTACATCCCCATCCGCTTCATGAGTCATATCACTGAACTTGCACTCAAAGTATTCTATTTTGGTCTTGATTAACTTCAAACCTTTAGACTCTTGAGTATGTCTCTAAACCTCTACCCTCGTGTTGACATCAATTTTTTGTCTCGTCAAAAAGCACAATGTCATCTGAAATAACATGCATCAAGGCACCCTACTGACTTTGGCGCGTCAGTATGTCTCCTCCTACCATACTAACTCGGGTCTTAGCTCCATCATACATATCCTTAATCACTCTAGTGTATGTTACAGTAACATCGCTGCCTCCAAACTTCTCCATTGAACCTCCTTTGGTACTTTATAGTAAGCTTTATCTGGTTCTCGAAAATCGACACACTTCTCCTCACCCTCGCTTCCACTGTCATCTCCCAAACTTTCATAGTGTGGGTTACCAGCTCGATATCCCTATAGTTGTTGCAATTCTGAATATCACCCTTATTCTTGTACAGTGGAATCATCGTACTCCACCCCCAATCCTCGGACATCTTCGTCGTTCTAAAAATAATATTAAACAACCCAGAAAGCCATTCCAAACTTGCACTACCTACTTTCTTCTAAAATTCTACTGGGTTTTGTCTAGCATGACTACTCTTCCCCAACTCATCTTATGCATAGCCCCCTCAACCTCCTTAATCTTTATACACCTACAATACCCAAAGTCTCGGCCCTCGGAGTTCTCCAAATCACCTAGCATAATATTCATGTCCTCCTCTTCATTCAGAAGTTTGTGGAAGTAGCTCTACTATCTTCGTCTAATATGTGCCTCATCCACCAGTACTTTACCTTCCTTATCTTTGATGCGCTTTATTTGGTCCAGATCATGTGCCTTCCTCTCTCTCACCTTTCTTAGCCTATATAACTTCTTGTCCCCACATTTTTTCTCAAGTTCTTTATATAAACTTCCAAACGTTGTAGTCTTAGCTGCCATAACCACTAATTTTCCCTTTTTCTTAGCCTACTTATACTACTCCTTATTTGTCATCTTCTCTTCCTCGTCTATGCTCTCCACTAGCCTCAGATATGCCGCCTTTTTGGCTTCAATTTTTTTCTTGAACATCTCCATTCCACCACTTGTTCTCTTTGCAATCACCAGAGTACCCCTTCGAAACCCTTAAAACCTCTATAGTCGCTTTCCTAATGCGGTTTGCTGTTGTGGTCCATATGCTACTCGCGTGCCCACTACTCTTCCAGGATCCTATAACTATCAACTTTTTCTCCAACTCATGAGCTTTGTCTTTAGTCAAGCAAAACCCTCTTATTTTTCTTCATCTTAATCTCCAAGTACATATTCAAGAGTTTATGTTGGGTCGTAAGGTTCTCCCTTGGGAAAACCTTGCAATCTGTGCATACTCTCCTATCACATTTCTTGAGAAAAATATAATCATCTAACTTTTGTCCATCGTACTCTATAAGGTGTCCAAATACTCCACATTCTTCTGAAAACTAGAGTTAGCTATCACCAAATCGAAGGCACTAGCGAAATCTAGCAAAGAGGTTCCACCTTCGTTTCTATCTCTAAAATCGAAGCCGTGTCATCTTGATATGACCATTGAAATCTCTTCCTATGAATAACTTCTCGGTATGCGGAATACCTCGCACAATCCCGTCCAAATCCTTCCAAAAGTGCCTCTTGACCTCTTCGTCCAAGCCCGGTTGAGGCACATAAGTGCTAATAATGTTGAAAGTAAGCCTACCCACAACTAGCTTAATGGCCATCAGCCTATCGTTTACCTTCCTAATCTCTACCACCTGCTCTCTGAGTTCCCTATCGACCAAAATACCTACCCCATTCTTACTCTTACGCCTCTTGAGTGCCACAACTTAAACACGTCTACATCTCGTGCCTTAGTTCTCATCCATCTAGTTTCCTGGACATAAGATATGTCGATCTTCCTCTTATGGAGTATCTTGATTAACTTAATAGATTTCTCCGTTAAAGTCACTATATTCTAGGACCCAATCCTCAGTCCCAACCGGAAAACATGACCTCACCCCACCATCTATAGCTATAGCCGCTATCCTTAAGGGAAACTTTACACTATCACTAAAGTGAGTATTATTACTAAAGGCTAAACTAAGCTAAGACTAGTGCTATGAATAAACATAAGGCCTAAAATGATAGAATCAAAACTTAAACTACATGCACTAATCAAGCTGAGTACAAATAAATGATCGATAATTTGCACTCTAGTTGGTATTAGCTCCTATACCTATACTCTTGTCTCTTTAATATTTAATATTGGCAAAATTAGTAGCGCATACACAACTGGTATTACAAGTAATGTTAATCTATTATCATAATTCAAGTTCTATGCGATTTTAGTTTGAGGTCGTAGAAGTTCAAAAACTTTATTTCTCGTTCAAATTGATGTTTAGTTGACATTATTTTCAATTAGTGTAAGTATATTTTATGCATAAGCAAACAAAATGTTGTTTACATATATGTATTTACGGAATGTTTTTTTATAGAACCCTTAAAAATTACTTATTGCATTGAGTAAATAATACGAACCTAGGAGAGTAGTACTAATTTTTGTAAAAGACAAATGATATGAACGTGAGAGAGTATTAATTTGGTCTAGAAATCACAATAAAACGTAAATTTCCATGAAAATGAACCCTAAGCCCCTAACATCAATACCGCGTTGGGAACGTACATTGTCTCAAAAATCATAGAAAGGGGCCAGCGAAGCCATAATGGCCATCATTTCACTCGCAAACCACCACCCCTAAATTCAATTTGTCTTCTTTCCTTCTTTTTATTTATGCTTTCCTTCTTCTCGGGGAAAAAAACCTCCTCGATCAGCCGTTTGCTTTCGTAAGTTGCAAAAAACGCCTCTTTTCATCATTCGCAACTCTTTGAATTCGGACATTTCTAGAAACCTCTCTCTCTCTCTCTCTCTCTCTCTCTCTCTCTCTCTCTCTCTCCGTACGGGAAGCAATTAAAGCAATCGATCTGCTTTCGGTGCATCCAGCAATCGATCGGCTCTTATTCAAGGTACGAACTACAAACGTTGCGCGTAATCGCGTGCGCTGCCGTGTCTTTTTGTTGTTATTTTAATTTGGCAATCGGTCGTTGAAGTGATAATTTGTGTTGATTTAGTCTTGGAAATGATGTTTCGATCGAACTAGAATTGTCTAATGTGTTTGATCTTTGAGTTTAATTATTATAATATATTTATTTTCCTATCCCTTGATTTTTGTTTAATTAATTAATTTTGATGCATTTGAAATATGGAAGTGCTAGTTGATCTCTGGAAGTTGTTACATAGTATTATTTAGAATTAGAGTGAACTAAAGTGCTAGTGTGCTTATTGCTTCTGAAGTTGTTCAGCATTTTATTTTTTAATTAAGCAAGATATTTGGTTTATGCATATTTCGGAGTCTGAACTGTACTCAGATGCATAAATTTGAGGTGTATTACTCCTCGTCCAATATTGTACAAAATAATAGAACTCATCCTGTGGCCGCAGAAAAAAATTCAATTGAAATAAAATATAAACAAGCATTTTTGCTATACAATTTTTCTAGTTTCTTATAATAAAAATAGAAAACTATGGAAGTAGAAAATCCGAACTGGTGATACCAGCTAGAAGATTAGTGCTTGCTAGATGACTCGTAGTATATCAGAAACATAACCACTAGAGTTTATTAGAGAACCCCCAGCGTTAGATATTCCATAAAGATAGAGTATTGAAATATTATGGACTCAAACAGAGCATTTACGATACTAGCTAGGGGATTGAGATGTAGTTGTAGTAGTAGTAGTTGTTGTTGTTCTTGTATTATTAAAAAGTTTGCATCGTCAGCTGCTAGAATGGATGGAAAGGAGGTATAAAGGAAGCGAAAAACAACAGTCTTATGGGACGATGCTTAAAAGCAGGGGCGGAGCTAGCCTTGAAGATACGGGTTCGGCCGAACCCAGTAAGGCAGTAACTTCAGTTCAAACTCTATATTTATCTTAAGAAATTCATTTAAGATGTACAAAATACAAATTATCAATTTAGAACCCGGTAACTTAAAAGGATAGAATCCCGAACTTATAAGCCTCAAATCTTGGCTCCGACTCTGCTTAAAAGGCATTTTTTAATCTATAAAGAAAACCAGAAAGTGCATATTTATTGAAGATAAGGGACAATATAGATTTTACTGAACAGTATGGCTACTAAGTAGACATTGTATCATTAGCCTAAATGCTTCTACGAGGCTATTACTTTCTCTCTCACTGCTTTTCTTCTTCAATCATTTGAATATATCTTCTTTTTAACTTGTAGAAAATGGATGCGGAGCCTACAAAAGATCATGATGACGTTGCTGACACTGAACCGGTCACTTCTACGGATAATGAAGCAAAGACAAAAAAGAAGAAAAAGAAGGGATTTTTCTCAAGAATGTGGAATAGTTTATTTAGATCCGGCAAAGATGATTTTGAGAAGAGATTGCAGCACATTTCCAAGGAGGAGGCTGCTGTTATTGCCAGAATAAATAAGCGATCTCAAAATTGGAGAAGGATGAATAGGCATCTCATTATACTTTCTGTACTTTTTGAGGTAATGTTCAAACTTCTAGTGCATGTCCTGATGTAGAAAATTAGAGTGCAGATCTTTTATTCTTATATAGATTTACCTTTTTCTAGGCTTTTGAATTGGTTGGTTTTTTTTCTGTACGTTCATGGTCGTTCGGATTTTGACATACATTCAGTTTGTCCAAACACACTTCACAAATGGTGAGGTCATCGAGTGGAGAGCAGTGGCAATTTCTATTATATGGTTCCCTAACTGGCAAGTTATCTGTGTTTAAGAGGAAATTACTGCATCTTTCTTCTAGTTTTATTGCCACAACACGGTCATACTTCTATATTATATGCATGAAAGTTCTATTGAATGAGCTAGCCTCCTATCCGTGTATAGGAGGAAACTACTGCATCTTTCTTCTAGTTTTATTGCCACAACACGGTCATACTTCTACACTAAATGCATGAAATTTCTATTGAGTGGGCTAGCCCTTATCCTCAGGGGCGGATGCAGCTTGTTGGTACCGGGTTCACATGAACTCAGTTCTTTCGATGCGGAGGATAGTTTTTTAGGTAAAAGTTATTAAAATTACAATAAATACTAGATATGGACCCATAACTTTAAAAGTATAACAGGTTCAATGCTAAGAACCCCTAGAGCTTAAATCCTAGATCTGTCTCTGCTTCTCCTTACAAGGCTACATTATATCTACTCCTTCAGTCCTATTGAAGGAGTAAAAAAATGTTTCCTCCTAATGTCCTAGTATGTTATCAGTCTCATTTCTTTATTCTGATGGTCAATTTGAGCTGTATTTTGGAGTGAAATGGAACATTATTGTTTTGTCTTTTGATAGTTAGATATTTAGTAGTTTACTTTTTGATCAGTGTTATCAAAAGGCAAAAAGCGCAAAAAAGCTCTAAGGTGTGTTGGGGCTTTAAGCGCAAAGCGCAAATAAAGTGTGGGCTTTGAGGAAGAAAGGCGCAAATAGAGTAAAACTACAAATATGTATGTGTAGTCCAAGACTAATATCTTTAAGCATGAATACCAAATATATGGACAAAAAAATTGAAGAGAATTTACAATAAAGTAAAATATCAATTGTTTAGTGTCGCCTCTTCAGGATCACGCTTATTACGCTTATTGGCAAAGAAAAGCATACCTTAGCGCCTTGATGACAACATTGAAGCGCCCGTTAAGCGAGACGAAGCGCTCTACGTGTTTTGAGCCTCGCTTTAGGGCTTAAGTGCGCCTTTGCTAACACTGTTTTTGATAGGTAGCTAGAAATTTAGGAATTACACCAGAATTTCTAGAAGTTATAGATGGCTTTTAACAAAATTTTAACAGAATGTTTTTCCTTTGACAAATAAATATTAAGAGAATGTAATGCATAACTTTGCTGTTTTATGCTGCAGTCTAATTTTATAACTGTGAGCTGGGTACTTAATGGCAGTTGTGATGGAATAAAAAACGATCTAAGTACAGAAATCTAGTTGATGGTTTTTCTTTAATCTAGTTAATTTTTCATTATTATGTTGAGCTTAGGTGAAGAACTATTTAGTTCTCTGACGGGTTATTTGATAATCCTATATGACACTATTATACAGTAAACACATCTGATAAAACATGAGGAAGATGCTGTTACAAATCTGGTTGAATGTCATTCAACTAATTAAAATGATTTGACGTGTAACTGAAAGTTGCAAATATGAGTGGATAAGGGTTTCTTCGAGCTAGAATTTTTATTTTTAGTAGTCAAAGCACACTGATTAGAGAGGGTTGCTCTAGTTGAAAGCGCCCTGCACCTCCAGCCTTGAGGATAATTCGAGTCACCAAAGGAGAAAAAAGCGGGGGAGGGTCATTGTTGACTTCTGGGGAAGGGTTCTGGGGGTAGTGTGGAACTGTATATCTGGTTTACCAAATAAATAAAATGATTTTAAGCATACATCTTTTTAGTTGAATGGGATACTTTCCTTTTGAGTTCCATTGGATGAATTTGACATGATGTAAAGAAGTTACAACATAAATCTTTTTAGTTTATTAGGATACTTCTCATCTGAATTTCAGTTGATGAATATAGCATGATGGTAAACAAGTTAAAGCATCCATCTTTTTAGTTTGTTAGGATGCTTCCCTTTTGAATAATGACAAGTGTATTAGGAACTGGTAAATTTTAATTTACTAAATTAAAATACTCGCGAAATTTTTATTTTTAAAATGAGAAGTTTTACCAGTACTATTCTACAGATCATAAAATTCACACTTGTAATTACTTATGTAGGTGATTATGTAGCTAACCAATAATCAGTGTTCATCCTTTTATGTTATATGTGTTCCAGACTGCTTGAGTTGCTTATTTATCTTATGGGCGTGGTATTGTGGCAATTTCAATTTTCAGGTTATTGCAGTGGGCTATGCTATCATGACTACAAGATCCCTTGAGCTAAACTGGAAAATGAGGGCATTGCGAGTTTTACCAATGTTTCTGTTGCCTGGGTTATCCTTCATTACATATTCAACACTTGGAAGCTTCACAAGGATGTGTAAGTAATTCATGGTTGTTAGCTTACCAAAATTGTCATACTACTCATTTCGTAGTCAAATTGTTATACCTCATGGCTAGGAGATATTGTTTTTCCCATCTTCTTACTTGCTTTGCTTGCTGGTGCTGATTGTGAAATTGGATTTTGATGTTTATGGGCAAAGCTGGGAAAAAACAGAGAGATGACCTGGTTATTTTGTGTATTTTGTGCTCTAAGTTGAAGCTACAGTTCAATGTTCATAACTTATTCTAGCTGCCTTGGGATCCTGCTTTTAGCATTTGTGGGTGCTTTAACTTGGGTAAGAGAATATTTATGTGGTATACATGCTAGAACCAGTATTGTTCAAGTAATATGTTAAGCTCGAAAAATTAATTCCCTGTTGCTTACATATCAGTGTCTAGTATCTTGCCCAAGTAACAAAATTCTGTAAAACGAAGTTTCACAAGAAGGCTATGTTATAAATAACTGTCTAGGTAGGCAAATCTATGCTCATTATAGGGTCAGTTGAAGTTCTGGCTTCTTTAGGTACATTATATTGATTTTCTAGATGGCTAGAAAGAGCTGTTTTTCTTCTTTTTCCCTTTGTCCAATAGATAATGTTGTTTATTGCTTAACTTTCTTGCTTTTATCAGAATTGTTTTTCTGAAATTTGTGTTCTAGACCATGCTTGACCTGTATAGAGGTAGAGGTGATTGGTTGGTATTTAGGGAAGGGATACTTCAACTGAAGTATTTGAGTTGGGTTGAACTCCTGGCTTCATCAGGTATATTTTCATTGATTCGTAATTCGTTGGCTAGGTGGCTGGACAAGTATTGACAAATACACATGCACGCACATGAGAGCGCATTAATATAATATATCTATATTGTATGCTGTGATACATGGATCTTCCACTTACTGTCATCGGCTGGTTGCGATATGACCCCGGAGTGTGTGTAGGATCCGTGCCGGACCTGTCAGTCAAAGGAGGGGTTGTTAACTGAACACAAGGAAGAAGGAAGAAAAAGGAATGAGAGAAAGAAAAAGGGATAGAAGGAAGAGAAGGAAGAAAACAATAGAAAAGAAGGAAAAGGAAAGAACAAGTGAAGAAAACATATTGTTAAATCGCGAAGTGAGGAGCAGTTCTACTGCTGCTGCTGTTGTTGCCGTCAGTTTACAATTCGAAAGCAGTCTTTCGAACATAAAAACAAGGCGCAAGCTAGGGTTTCATTTTCAAAGCTGCTGTTAGGTTTGACTTAATGGGGCAGATTCTTTTTAGTTGTGTTAAATGGTCCAGGGTTAGCCCAAAACCAGAAAACACACTGACTGAATAACTTGTTTTAGAACAACTATATTTTCTTATGTGGGACACTTATACAATTTATTTTCTGCCACAAACAAGATTCATATTCTAGTTATAAACAAGCCCAAGAAGAATAAAGTAAGTTGGAGTAACCTTGGACCACATAGCTCAACTTAAAAAAGAAATAAGTTATATTGAACACCACTGGCCACTTAATAGATAGATTCTAACCACATTGTTAAACAGCAAAAAGATATTTTCAACAATTTTAAGTAAAATGACAATATTTAACATTAATTTGCAGTATCTCCGCTACCACGCCTGTATCCATATCCATATCTCTAAATCGTAAAATTTAAGAGAAAGACGAACCCGACCTGTAGATCCATACCTGTATTGAATACTCACACCTTTGTCCTTGTAACACCGGCTTATATGTATTATTAATACGTTGTGAACTATGTGAAATGCATTGAATTGATATTTCTTATATTTTCTGCGTATGCTTTTGTGTTATCGGATATTGCATTTTTGTGTGGTAAGTGCTAACCCTGTTTTCTGGCCTACAGAAAATATGTCTGATTGGACATTAATTCGGGGGGTATGGACTACTATTTTTGAAGTAGGCATAGTGGTGGAGGAAAGCATGAAAATGAAAACAAACCATGAAGACGCAGAATTGATTGGTAACTTGACCGTAATAGAAAGCTAGTGGCTGTAGAAGCAGATAAAACTATGATTTAAGTTACTTCTAACCAAACTTACTAGTGAAAAGCTTATGTATAATGTCATATGAAGCCCTGATTATTTGGACGAAGCTATAATAGCACATAAGAGCTCATACTTTAGCTTTCTCTGGTTTTTTGTTTTAGTCTCAAGGACATTTACCCAAATGGTTGAGAGTAAATCTGATCTGGCTTTGTGATTATTATGTCAGGATTTCAAACAGCATGGGAATGTCTATGACCCATATTTTTATATCACCTCAAATGATGTTATTGAAAACATCATCTAAAATTTAATATTTTACAGTTTGACGTTGATATTTCCTTTTGGTTTTGGATTCTTCCTATTTGTCTATTCAACCTTGTGGTTTTCACTGAATTTGACATGTCCTCCTTGGTCATGACTCCCTTAAAAGAATAGTGTTTCTTGTCTCTCATTTTTATAGCTTATCCTTTATGTGTGTCCTTGCAGGTGAACGCAAGGACCAGAAAACTTTGGAAAAGCTTCGAGCTGAAAGGCAAGCCAAGATTGATGAACTCAAAGAGAAGACAAATTACTATATAACGCAACAGCTCATTCAGGTGATAGCCATATGCAAGTTTTTGGGCTTATCCAAGTTCTTCACATATTTAATCATGAAGTTGCTGTGATCAAAGAGTTCTTTTGTATTTAAACAAAAAACCATGAAGTTGCACTGTGGAAGACAATTAAAATTTACTCCCTCTTTTGTCCTTGCCTCTATGATCGTTTTCCAAGAACCTTTTCTTGACAAATCCCAAGTGTGAATGACATGCACGATATCTCATTGTTGAATCTTTTGTGTAGAGATATGACCCCGACCCAGCAGCTAAGGCAGCTGCAGCCACTGTGCTTGCATCCAAGCTTGGTGCAGATACTGGCTTGAAATTTCATGTGGGGGATGATACTAACCTTAGTGCCCCTACTGGAAAGAGCAATGATGTAGAGGTTGTGCAATCTACTGGACTGAGAAATAGGAAGCAGGGCAGATCTAGTAGTCCAGAGAGTGCAGTACTAGATCATCATGAAGCAGAAATGCTTCAACATGCACAGCTTGAAGGTTCTGGTACGATGCAGCATCAGCAAACAGTTGTTGAGCATTACAACCCGACAGGTTCCAGCACACAAGATGGAGGATGGCTTGCAAAAATTGCAGCGTTGCTTGTGGGGGAGGATCCAACCCAGTCTTATGCACTCATATGCGGCAATTGCCATATGCACAATGGTAAGAATTGAAGAATTTAGTGATCTTTAAGCCCAACTCCTGGAGAGGATTCATGTAAAGAATGGTAGATAAGTAATGGCATTACTATCATTTGCAGGGCTGGCCAGGAAAGAGGACTTCCCTTACATAACGTACTATTGCCCTCATTGCCATGCCCTGAATAAGTCTAAGCAAGTTGATGATCGTGGCTCTGGTACCAGTACCCCTAACCTCGGTTCCACAACTGCTGTGGCTGATATTGATTTGGTCAAACAAGGTATTGGATCCATTCCGGATAACATATCTGCATCAGCAAGTGGCAGTCCAGTAGCAGCTCCAGTGGCAACTGAAGATGAGAACATAGTTTCCAGCGCTTCTAACAGCTAAGAGATGGTGAGTTTTGAATTGAGTCTTGCAGGCGAGTGCTTTTTCTCCCTATGTGTGTAGCGGGTTTTTCTTTTCTTGGTAATGTGTTAACTGTTGTAAACATAGTAGAAAAACATATTTTGTGATTCATACGGCAGCTTCTCGTGGAAACCTTTCTACAGGCGCAATATACCTCAATTTCCTCCATTTTGTATTCTTTTTTTTTGTTTGGGAAATATTTAGGCCATCAGCAGAGCTTTATGAAATTTTGTGACTGCAGCGTTTGCAGTTCCTCTCACGTGTTTTCTCTTCTTGAATCATTTGTCTTGTACCTTTTCCTACATAAGTTGGGATGATACGTTATCCAAGTGATCTTTCTAATTCAAAAGCCTTTCCCACTTCCTTTTTCGCTTGCTTGATTATTTGTTTTTGCCTTTACATATTCTCTTTTCTTAATAATCATTGCCCTTCCATCGGTCTTATTGTTTCTCCTGAGTATGTTGTGCTGTCTAGAATATGTATGATAAATACACAAAACCAAGTAAAGTGTAACAATGCCAAGATAATCTGTTCTTTAAACATACGAGCGAAAACACAATATGTTTCATAACATCGAGAGAATTGTAGTAGACTAGAGTAGTGAATAAGCGACTGTTGTGATTAGAAAATCCTTTGTTGCGACTTTCTTCACAATATCCAATGAGATGTCAAATGAAAAACCTTTGGAAGCATTAAAGCACCTCTTGGCTTACTTTAGTTAGATGAATTCCAATAAAGAATGCCGACTCAAATAGGCTTAATACACGTGTTAAATTTTTGTGTTTCATCGTCGCACCAACTTTTTGGTCAAAACGCCCAATGATATATAAAGACGTCAAATTAAAAATCTTTGGAAGCATGTAGGCATTCTCTTAGCTTACTTTAGCTGGAGCTAACATACTGCACGTCCTTAAGATCAGTGAATGCTTAGGCAATTGGATTTGGTTCTGGAAATGTGTGAAAAAATAAATTTAGAGAAAAATTGTGTCTTTGGGTTACCTTTTAAACCATTTTATTCTGATAGGTTCAGCGGGTGGAGATCCCCTCCAGTGAAATTTGGTCAAGTATTGTTCAATGCAATTGCCGATATATGCCATGTGTACACTCAAATAATTCAAGGTTGGGATTCATTTGGTTATTAAACAAATAAAAATGGTAAGAAAATATTTAACAAAAAAAATATAAGAAAATTTAACACTAACGGCAACCGTTTATATGGCCTGCCATGCCATCTTTCTCACTCTTAAAGCTACACGTAGACACCACCATGATTTCATAGTGAAACCTAAATATATATGTGTTGTTCTCAATTTATTTTTGAAGAATTAACCCAAAAAGCTGTTTATCTAATTTTTTTTAAAACAAAAAATAACCGACGAATGCATAATATATGTATAATTCATTTATAATATATGTATAACTGTGTATAATCAATGTATAATCTATATATACCGGCTAGAAAAACGTAAACATTGAATCTGTCGGCAATAATTAACTATAATATATGTCCACTTAATCTTTTAAACAAAAAAATAGTCAGTGAATGTATAATATATGTATAATTCATTTATAATATATGTATAACTGTGTATAATCAATGTATAATCTATATATACCGGCTAGAAAAACGTAAACATTGAATCTGTCGGCAATAATTAACTATAATATATGTCCACTTAATCTTTTAAACAAAAAAATAGTCAGTGAATGTATAATATATGTATAATTCATTTATAATATATGTATAACTGTGTATAATCAATGTATAATCTATATATACCGGCTAGAAAAACGTAAACATTGAATCTGTCGGCTATAATTAACTATAATATATGTCCACTTAATCTTTTAAACAAAAAAATAGTCAGTGAATGTATAATATATGTATAATTCATTTATAATATATGTATAACTGTGTATAATCAATGTATAATCTATATATACCGGCTAGAAAAACGTAAACATTGAATCTGTCGGCTATAATTAACTATAATATATGTCCACTTAATCTTTTAAACAAAAAAATAGTC